GTCCTATCCTGTTGACAGTTATACAAATGCCAGCACTCTTCCAGGTGGTCTAAGTAATGATGCAAAATACATCAGTTCTAAAGGCTGTCCCAAATTAATGCTGAGCATGTAGTGTAACTGTGGCAATGCTTCCAGATGAGCACAAATAGATCTTATAGATATTGATGTTGTTATCAACAACTATTTATTGTGCCAATTAGTTCACAGCAGTAGGTCTGCTTTGACAATTGAACAAAATGGAACCTATATATTTGGAATCCAGCCCAATGACACAAAAATGGCCCAGTAACTTCCAATACCCTGGATTTGCTGTTGGTGAACTGCAAGTAAAACTTAAGTGTTGACCACTTTTCGTTCATCAGCCTGTGCCCAGAAAAAATAAAGTGGTGACATGACCCAGGTTACATTCTTATTATAACACCCTCATTTGAACTGCCCAGGCCAAACGTGGATGAGACAAATAGTCGATATACACCAGTTAGAAGCTATTAGGATTCATTATTTTAAGAAGATGAGACAGAGAGAGATCTTATCTTAGCCACTGTATGATATGATATATACATTAACTTTCCACAACTAAATTCAGAAAGTCTTGATTTTTATAAATGTATAGAAGATTTCACAGCCAGACTTGGGTTGTTCAAACATGTCATTGAGCAATGCTGAAGAAATAACTTTCAATCCCAAAGGTAACTGAATTACGTAGACCAGACTTGCTGGGGGATTATGTTTCCATAAACCACCAGGTCCTGCTGCGCACCTTATTAATACCACATGTCATTGTGGTATTTCTTATGAAGCATAGAGTAATAAAACTGTGCAGGTTTCTGGCATAGTTAGTGTGTCAGAAGAACTGAGCAGACTTCATTAGTTGCAGCCTTACCTCAGGTGAAAGGGTGATTCTGCATTGCCCTGAAAGTAGGGTATTAGCCTGTATTTAGGACATCCTAACTTGAAAGGCACTATACAAATTAAATTTGTTGTTTGTTGTTGTTATGCAGGTTGTGTTAGAAAAGCATTGGCCAAAAGGTGGTGGAGGGAGCAGGAATCATAAAATTCAGGGTTTTGCTGAGTAGCAGAATTCTGACACTTTTTAATTCTTTTCAATTTATCATTTTAGTTTTTAATGGTAATGTCCAAAAGGACCTGACAATGTCTCTCCATAGTATCCTTCATTCACATTAGCTGTGCCAGAGAGAGCAGATGAGTGACCTGCTCCTGTATCTTCACCAATACTACACCAATAAATGGAGCCATGTGAAGGAACACGCAAACAGCTTGAGTGACTCCTAAACCCCAAGGCCTATGGCTACCTCTCATAGCTTAGAGCAGCCTGAATTCTTTACTACTGTACCATTGTTCATTAGTGCTAAAAGTGGGTCTGCAGTACTTCAAGACACTGTTGATGATTGACCGGCCAGCTTGGCTCATTGGCAGGAGTTGAAGGAGCAGACTAGTCACTGGGGTAGGGTATGTTTCCATTCAGCTGCTGTTAAACCTGAAAGGAAAAGGCTGATGATTAATGCGTGTGAATAGCCTAAGACAAGGAAGTATTTCTTTACCCATAAGGTAATCAACAGCTGGGAACTGAGAGCAGGGACTCTCCTCACTCAGCTTTTCAACCCTGGAAGCCAAAGACCTGAAGAATAAAGTGGTCTTAGTTTGCCCAGCTGTGCTCTCAATGATAAACTGTGTGGTTTTAGCTAGAGTCCAGCAGTACCCCAATCCACTCACTGGGATCTCTAATCCTTGATTCTTGCCAACCTGTGCTTAGGCATTAGATAAGCAGGATGCATCCCTCCAGGGAGAGTGTGCATTCCACTCCACACAGGAACATTTCCATGTGCAGGCAGCAATCATATGTGTAACTTTATTTGGTTCAAATACTTTTAAGCATGGTGATGGGTTTCTGTATGTGTCAGGCACTACACTGACAAAACACAACAGCTGGAACACTTCACAAGGAAGAGGAGGTTGATCCTTGGAAACTTGGCTATTCTGTGGACATTCTGTAGCCAGAAAGTATTTCTTGAATGAACTGTTTTCACCTGCAACCCTTTCAGCTAATGTAGAAGTGGGGAGAAAAAGGAGATTTCATCCCTTTAATTGAGATGCCAATATGCAAAGTCCTTCATCAGGGGAAGATTGCTCCCTGAGCTCCTACGGTAGCTGTGGCTATATATAACCAAATTGTTTTTGGTTAATAACTTGTCATTGCATTGTTAAGCAAAATGGGCAAGAAAGCATTTCACCTTTTGATCTCACTAATCAGCAAGAATTATTGGTTTTCTGACTGCACACTTATGCAATCTAATATATCATAAAGTAATCATTTGACGATTTACTTGCTCTAAAAACACGAGGTTAATGTTTTGACCAGCCGGGCTGCTTTTGTTGGTTGAAGGATTGAGGGCAGATAAAAATTCAGACTTATTACCAGGTACTATTTCAATCAAAACTCTGCGGCTGATTGGTCAGCACTGTAAAATATGTGGCGAGGGTAGAATATGAATTGCTATCAACTCTGCCAGGATAATGTAGCTGTCAGAAGGAAGCTATAAATAGTGTTAAATGGTATCTTGCATCAAAGGAGGAAGAGTAGTCGGATCAGTGTTATCAGCATCTGTGAGCCAGTAAGTGTGAATACTAACTTGGAATACTGACACTTGTATGGAGCTCCTGTTAACCTCATACTCTTAACCGGATTCTGTTATAATTGCACAAATAGGGATCCTTCCCATAACAGTCAGTAATAGTCACTCTCACCCACAGATGACTGATATTCTTGTATAGCAAGTATCCTAGCTTTGTGATCAATATTGATCTAAGCCAAATTAATGAGGAAGCTCTATGACGAGCATTTTGCAATTATCTGCTTATCGTTTTGAACAGGTACCCATCTGGCCTGCCACATTGTGTATGTATTTTACAGCAGTTACCAATTACTTACTTCAAATAATGAAACTTCTCTTTCGCCTATGGGTAATTGACTACTTTGTCCCTAGATTGCAGCCCAAATGACACTTGATCATTTTTACATTATTTGTGTGAGCGTTGCAAAATTTCATGTAATGTATCCATCTGCAAGAAGTTAAATAACTATACAACTGTACAATTGAAAGATGTCGTATTAAAATAATGCAAGCATTTGCAAAACACCGGTTTTAATATTTCATTGTGAATTCCTGCTAAGTGTAAACAGTTTTGAAGTAAACACCAATTAGGGATTATAATAATAATAATTGTATTTAATATAGTGCCTTATAATGTCAAAAGGTTTCAAAGCCTTTCAGAGTTTTCTATAAACTATAGTGACTGAGCAATTCTAGGAGAAAATGACAGCCAATCTGTACACAACAATGTCCCACAAACAGCTATGAATTGAATGACCGTTTTTCCTCTGGAAGTGAAAAGGTAGCCTGGCTTGTCGACAGGGGTGACAGGGATTGAGAAGCATGCAATCAAAAGGGACAAAGGGAAAACTTTCAACTTGAAATAATAATTCAGTTCTTTCAGATTTGCATTTTATTACGTGATAATACTCCTTTTCAGTGTGAAACAAAAGTTGAGTGTATTTAATGTCCTGTTTATAGAGCTGTAAGCAAAGTTCCATTTCTTGCAACAGCAAATTAATTGGGAGCAGGGAAGTCTGATTCATACAACTGCCACTTGAGTAGCATTCATACTGCAGGGGTATAATCCACGTGTTGCGAAACCATCGCATCAAGTGGCTGGGCTCCAGCACCCACAATTCACTAGCAAAGCTCAATGCTCAGCCATGATTTACATTGTTTGTAGCAATTCGTCACCGTTTTCACCGCAAGAACTGGGCATTAGATCTTCCACTGTTGATGCTAACAGGCATCCTCAAGAGACCAAGGAATGCACTGCTAACTGCAGTCAGCTGTATATTTCTGTCTGATTTCTAACTGTTACTAACTGTTCTCAGCTACTGAATAATGCGTTGATTTCTGCGTGCGTTTCAGATGTTTGTATGTAGGAGTAAATTGCTGTATTCCAGGGTAAATACTGCTTCTGACAACTTGTACCTATTAAGTTAACCCGGTGAGCTTGCCATATAATATTACTTGCAAAGCCAAACATTTGGAGGTTTTCCATACCACTTTGTGTATTCAATATTTAGCACAATTGCTGGTAAAATACCAGTGTTCTATGTCCATGTTGGCATGTGAATGTAAACTCTCTACAGGTCTCATGTCGGTCTGTTTACACAAAGGAGAAAGCAGAGAATCCAGGTGGATGCTGAAGATTGCTCTTAGTCTTCTGAATTGTGCATTGTTCCTATTTATTGGTTTGTTCAGTCGCAAATCGGTTGCTTGGAGCCAGTCCAGCATGAAAACAAAGGGCCAATGCTGGAAAAGGAATCTTTGCATTCATTTTGTCAAGAAAAAATGCACATTTATTCAAAGTCAACGTGCTTTTATGACAGATAATGCAATTAGTTTTCATTTCATATACATTAAATGTGGAGAGAAATCCTGGCATTTCAAAGGAATTATAAAGTGTATAGTTCTGTTCATGTTAGAAACCCTGCAGTTACCTTCAGTGTCAGATACTGCTCCTGATTTCCCTTCATTGATCCCTATGCATCTGTAGACATTGAGCTCACCCATGATGACTGCTGACACTCCATGTGCACTGAGCATTTTGGTGAGATACCATTGGGCAGTCTGTGCCTAAACAACAAGTTACCACCTTCAATGGTGGGGAAAAAATATAAGAAAATTGGTGGACAGTGAGTGTGGAATTGTAGAGCAAGCTATTATAAGCAGCTCTCTCTAAAATCCTGCTGTGGCAAAAACATTTCTTAGAGTATAGGCATTTAGTTTTAGCCTCCCAAAATCTTATCAAACTGGTCTCAGGTACTTAACTCTTGAATCCAAGAAACAAATCTGCAAACATCATCAACTGACAGTAGCAGTCTGTTTATTTATGCACAACTTTTGGTCGTGAGTTTATTTTGGTCTTTTATTTTACAGTTGCCTATTGTGGAAAAGATCAGAACAATAGCACAGAAGGTCTATGGGGCTAAGGACATAGAACTGTCTCCAGAAGCGCAATCCAAAGTGGATTTGTATGTCAAACAGGTGAGAGCTCTTGGTTTAAGGGGCCAGTAGATTAGTGTTTTATCATTTGTTTTCTCTGACAAAGGGCTCAGCAACATCGTATAGTATTTGATATGATAATGTCTGTTTCTACACTGCTTTGAACCCTGCTGTGAAATCGAACCCGATCCTGAACACATCAAGCTTCATACCTTCCCACCTTCTCCTGCTTGATGACCTGGGACAGAGTTAATGCAAAACGCAAAGATGCTTTCAAAGAATGGAAAATTGTTGTCCCAAAAGAGAAAATGTTAATTATTCTGTTGAAAGCCGGCTACATTGAATGTTGTGTTAACCAGGAAAGGTTGAGGTTCTAGTTCACAAAAGACACAACCTGCTTCCATGAATTGTACCTTAATCGAAGAAACATCTGTGACCTCTATTTCTCTGCCTCTCTCTCTCTATCCATCACCTCCTTTTTCGTTTTCACTCTCTCCCACCCTCCTGTCCCCAGGCTAAAGGCTTCCCAGCTGCTTTGCCTCCTGAAATTAACTTAGCACTAAAAATTGACCTGATCCGTATGACTTATTACGGCACACTGTTCTGATCAAATATAATAGCTTGTCTCTGGTTTATTTGTATGTTCAATAATTAAGTTTCTCCTTTGCTTATAGGGTTTTGGAGACTTGCCAATCTGCATGGCAAAAACTCATCTTTCACTCTCTCATCAGCCTGAGAGAAAGGGAGTTCCCACTGGCTTCATTCTACCTATTCGCGATGTACGTGCCAGTATTGGTGCTGGCTTCATTTATCCGTTGGTGGGCACAGTGAGTCATTTTTCTATATAGATCAGAAAGGGTATGAAACCTAGATGGTCTATGGATAAAGGCATTACCTGCTCCATCAGAGTGAGTTCGAATCCTGTGTTGAATTCGCTGATCACGACTGCAGCACTGCAATTGGTCCCAATGTCACAGGGTTAGCAAGAGGAAAATTGGCCAAGCTACCCAGTTGCTATCCAGAGACCCCTGTTGAAAGGTGCTTCCAATCAGATCAGTCTCAAATTCTGATCAAATAGTTTGCCAGCAATCATAATGAAGACTCCCTCGTAAATGTGTAAACTAGTTGGAAGGTGCTCTGTGGCACCATATCCTCAATAGAAGAGAAAAGGAACTGAACACTTCAATTCCTGGGGGAATTGTCTGATGAAGAGCAAATAAAACAAAGTTAGAAATGGCAGGTAACAGAAATGGGTGGGTCAGCCTGACTAGGTTTACAGCACTCTTTCTTCTGAGTCAGTTGGTTGTGGGTTCAAACCCCACTTTGGAACTTTTAGCACATAATTCAGGCTGACACCCCAATGCAGCATTTCGGGTAAGGTGTAGTATGAAATGCCGTCTGCCTGGGTTCAAGTGGATGTTCAATATGGCACTATTTCAGAGAGAAGGGGGTTTCTCTTGGTGACCTGGCCAACAGATGCGCAGTTTTCACTACACCTTGCAATAGTTCCTTCAATGCAGTAATAAGGCAGTACATCAAATGCAAGGATTATTTATAACCAGTTTGTAATGTGCAATTTGGAAATGTAATATTCAAAATCAGTGTTATTCCAACAATCGATGACAATGAGATGATCACAACAAAATGATGTGACAAATTACCTTTATGGGCCTGATGCATTTCAATTTAATACAAAGCTTGTATAATAATACAATATATACAAGATAGAATATACATAATATATAAATATTAATAACCTTGCATTTGATATAATGCCTTATCGTGCCATTGAGACATTTCAAGGTGCTTCACAGGATTTAATGCAAAGTTTGTGTATTTTGTTGTTTTGAATTAACTTATGAAGCTACCCTATTGCAAAGAGTGCTTGTTAAATTGTGCCCTCCTTTGTTGAATATTTAGAGTTAAAATAGTTTCCCTAAAATGCATACTATACAAATTACTATATCAATTGCTAGTTTCATATCCTTCAAACAGTTTTGGATAAATCTAATTAAAATAAGTAAAAGCAACCGGTTGCTAAAGATTTGATTTATGTTTTAGTTCAGCGATATGACCACGTGTTTTTGCAATTATTGTTCATCAGTTTTTGTAATTTTGTTTTGTGAACTGCGAGCAGAAGTTCATTCAACAATTCACTGAGCATAGATCTACAGAAGATGCTGTTTCCTGTATGGAATCACATTAACATGTTATCTCCACGCACAGGGGCAGGCATTGTTTCCTTCGTTTGGGGGCTTCGAGTAGCTGAAGCTTCACCCTCTGCCTCATTGTTTTTTTAAAAATGAAGTATCTTTTGTAAGGAAGTATTTCCTGAGGAAGAGGCTACCTTAAATACAAAATGCAGCAACATGGGTTAGAGTGGCCTTGGAACTTTGCGCAGTTGTCATATACACAGTACAACAAGAAAGAACTGGAAAACTTCCTGTTCAATGTTTTGCGGTGAGCATTAGAAAGTCTTTAGAATCTGGTTCTATATGTGGAAGAAAAATGTGCAAAGCTCCCAGTTATTGTTGGCCTTTTGCAATGCTGCAGCTATAATGTAACACAATAATTTTTAAGATTTAGAGTGCTGGCTGGCTCCTCTTTATTGCCTTTCAGCTTCAAAATCTTTCCAGGAAAAAGGAAATCAAGGTTTATCTGATGAGATCTGTAGCACAGTAGGGGCAGTTTTGTATTGACGCATGTGGCTTTTCTCCCAGGTTTCCCTATCCCCTGTCCCTGACCCTCAACCACAGCGGACACAGGTGGATAATGACTGAGTCTCTTGACTTGGAAATGGGATTAAGGAAAATTGAGGGCTTGCAACGACAATGAGGTCATCCATTCAGAATATGAAGCCAAGAGTTTAGGCTGCTCATTGAGAATTGAGATGTTTCCAGCAAATCTATTGCAGTTGAAATATGGGTGTCAATTTATACAGATTTTCTTACTGGAAATATGAATTCAAACTGAATGGTAAAAATCTGAAATAAATCATATTGATCATAACAGGAAAGACATTATTTCCATTGGTCAGTGAGAGGAGGCATCAATTTAGGATAATTAGCAAGGGAACAAAAGAGGAAAATTAGGAGGTTTTTTTACATAGTGTGTCAAGGAAAAATCTATATAGCTTTCAAGAGGGATAAATAGTTGAAAAGCAATAAATCACAGGGATATGGGGCTCTTTCAAAGAGTCAGCACTGAATGGCCTTCAGTGCTGTAGATATCTATGGTTCCGACTGTTGGAGAAAAATCATCACATCAGCATTGTGCCTGAAACATTAATCTACTTTCTCTGTCTCGGGCAAGCTTGTCTGGCTAGGATCACTCAACCTGTCAGGGCTTTGGCTTGCAGGGTCCACAGAAGCTAAGTGGGAAGATCCCCTGATCTCTTTTACATTCTTGTTAACAACCTTCTGCACATTTTGCCAAGTCATTTTTGAGTTCCTGGTACTACAGGCATAGGAAGAATGCATGGCAGATTCTCAAAGGTGACCTGAGTATCAAAAGCAGGTCTCTTTTGCATGTACTCTGAATTTCTGACATCCAGAGAGGGGGAGAGAAAGGTAGACATTCTGAAGGTCTGTAGGTACAGTGAGTTATGGCCCATGTGTTGATGAAGATAATTCCTTTACTTTCTCTCTGTCTCCAAGATGATCCACAAGTTCCCTTGTGTTGACCATAGAAATCTATTTGCTTTATTATTAATAATAATCTTTACATTTGGTGTAGCACCCTTCACATCAGGAGGACATCTCAAAGCGCTTTGCAAGATTCACTGTAAAGTGAGGTGACTGTGTACTTTGTGGGCGAACATAGTGGCCAATTTGCTTTAAATCAAGGAGTTTTGGCATCCTGCAACTTCCTATCAACAAATGATTCATTGTTCTTAGATTGAAAGATTAATCAAAAGAATGTTGTGGGAGATTGACCGGATAGGCTTGATGTACCAATGATCAACTCATACTTGAAATTGTTGCAATCTATCATCCAATCTTCAAAGTACCTGGTTATTAAGGATTCACCCAACCCAAAATCATCCACTATAAGTGATTTGTAACATCCTGGTCTTCTCTAAGCACTTACTATTTAAAACACTGATGGTAAATGGAAATTGAGTGTGCTTTAATGTCTTAATAGAGTGTTGTAACAAATACAGAGTGCTTTAACTAATACAGAGTCCTGTAGCGGATTGATTAGAGCACTCGCCTCGCAAGCAAGATGACCTGGGTTTGATTCCTGGATAAGCAAGTTTTCTTATTCCACACGCCTCTGTTTATCTAGCAGTAAGTAGGAACCCGGTTGTTAGTCAATTGGCAGATCGCCTTCCGGGGTTATAATCCCCTAAAGAAAATTATAATAATTTGGTCATTCAATCCACGACTGTTTGTGGGACACTGATGTGCATAATCGGGTGCCGCGTTTTGCCCACAAAAATATACAGTAAACATTCTGTGAAGCGCTTTGAAACATCTCGAAGACATGATAAGGCTCTATGTCAAATGCAAGGATGATTATTATTGATAGAGAGGGTGCCCACTCCCACTGGATGAGAATTCTTATCCAATTCTATCAGGCCATATTCTTCATTTGATTCTCTTTTCAAGAAAAAAAGCTGAGGAATAACCATGGAGAAACTACTTGCCCAACTTAGTTTCTTATTACCAATTGTTTGGGCCTGGTTAGTCTGTCTGTATTTCCAAGGCGTTGTAGCAGCATATCTACCGTCTATGAAATCATAGTGTTAAAATATCAACTGCTTGTTTTTCTCCCATAAAAGGAGAGCACCCAGGTAGAAACATAGGAATGTACAGCACCAAAAAAGATAGTAGATCATCTAGCAGATTCCAAGTGTATAAAATAAATATTTTTACACAGCGACTTGTTTGGATCTGGAATGCACCGTCTGAAAGGATGGTGGAAGCAGATTCGATAACCACTTTCAATAGAAAAGTGGATAGATAATTGAGGAGGACAAATTTGCCAGGCTATGGGGAGAGAGCGGGGGAGTGGGATTAACTTGGATGGCTCTTTCGAGAGCATGATGGACTGAATGGCCTCCTTCTGTGCTGTATAATTCTATGATTCTAAATCTCTTTTATCCCTCAATCTATTTCCTTACTAAATAACTATCTTCTTTACTCCTGAATTTGCTGTTTCAATCTGTCATCGTCACATCTGTAGATGTGAGAGCATTCTCTTTATGTATGTAGATGGAAACATTTGTAGATTTAGGCAGGCATTTTTTCATCCAGAAACCAGCCTTTGAGTAAACCCAAACCACAGTTGACAAGCAAATCGGATAGTGGTCTGCACATACTTGTATTTGCAGGGGTCTCTTCATTAGTGCTTCCTATTGAGTCTCAGACTAGCAGCAAGGGAACTATTTAGATTAGTTTGTATTGTTTCGCTACACTTTATTTCCTTTGTCTTGGCTACTCAGGATGATTATGCTCAATCGCTGCTATGCTTCAAGTCAACCTGAAGCTGTAGGATCTCAAAGTCCCACAGTTCAGGTTCTGTCTTCTATTAGTATGCAAAGAATGAAGAGTGAGTAATTTGTTTAGGGGTGTCAGTAAAAGACAGGTAAATGGGAGCAAATGGGTTCCTCTTTTAACGAACCAACACAGAACGCAATCGGCCAAAATGACCACCTTCTGTGCTGTAAAGCTCTACGATTGCTTAAACGTTGTGTCCCAGAATGAGATTTTATATCAATAATAATATCCACTTGGCTGCATCCTCCTTCTCTATGTCCCCTTCCGCACGCCCTAGA